TCAGGGAGTTCACGGCCCCCTTCAAAAATTAGCCATCATTTACAGAATCCTTTGTAATGGGCCAGACTCTGTATTTAGGCTTTAAAGGCACTACCCTGTTCATTTTGCAGATGTGCTTATTAGCCCCATTTTAAAGATTAGATAGCTGAGGTGTCGTCTGCTTATGAATTTTCCCCAAATTATTGATTGAGCATGTGAGTGGCAGAACCAGGCTTCGAACCCTTGTCTTGCCTGAATCCCAGCAAGTTCATGGACTCCAAACAACAGGATCTGGGCCAAGAAGAAGGCAAAGGCCATGGCATTCCAAGCTGAGGGAAAGATCATGGGCCACGCAAGAGGCAGGCAGGCACATGCTGGGCACATGCTCAGGCACGTGATGAACAGGCAGAACACAGACTCAAATCCCCTTCCAGGAGAACTGAGGTCACGGCTGGAGTATTACTTACTGAGGCCAACCTCCCCTGCTTCACACTCTCGCTCACCTCAGCGGCTTTCAGATTATTGAGGCATCCGTTTGTGTGTGTTTACACAGGAACTTAAACTCGCCTGCTGTCGGCTCCGGAACAGCAAGGACTGGTGTACGTTTTACGAATATAACTGACATTCATATGATGTGAGAAAAGCTTAACTCCTTGAAGATGACTGCTTTCCAAACTTACACAAACATCAAGCAACCCAGTTGCTTGATGGTCGTTCTGCTGCCAATGATTTAAGTTTTCCCCTAATCTGGCAACCTCTCTGATGGAAATAATGAATAGAGGGAGGCTGTTTCTGCTTTCTACTCCACAGGAATCAACTGTAAATAGCCAGAGACCCAAAGCTACAAGACTGACTCAGAGGTTCCCCCCCAAAAATGACGGAGAAACCTGTAGACATGGGGGAATATTCTGCTATAACCTAATTACTTGGAGGGAAATTTGAAAAAAAGCCTTGGGATGACATTTTTAAAATAAAAAGTTAAAAAAACTTGGGGTGATAAATAAATTCTTAAGAGTACATATTTCGGGGCTCCTGGGTGGCTCAGTGGGTTGAACATCTGACTTCAGCTCAGGTCATGATCTCTCAGTTCATGAGTTTGAGCCTGGGGTCAGGCTCTGTGCCGACAGCTCAGGGCTTAGAGCCTGGAGCCTGCTTCAGATTCTGTGTTTCCCCCTCTCTCTGCCCCTCTCCCACTGGTGCTCTGTCTCTTTCTCAAAAATAAATAAACATTTAAAAAAAAATTAAAAAGAGTACACATTTTCTAATAATAATAATAATTATTACCATTGATTGAGAGCCTACTGTGCACCAGCAGTTGGTGGTTGGGGGTGATTACACAACAGCTCATTAAATGGAATCTTTACGGGGCGCCTGGGTGGCGCAGTCGGTTAAGCGTCCGACTTCAGCCAGGTCACGATCTTGCCGTCCGCGAGTTCGAGCCCCGCGTCAGGCTCTGGGCTGATGGCTCAGAGCCTGGAGCCTGTTTCCGATTCTGTGTCTCCCTCTCTCTCTGCCCCTCCCCCGTTCATGCTCTGTCTCTCTCTGTCGCAAAAATAAATAAACGTTGGAAAAAAAAAAAAAAATTAAAAAAAAAAAAAAATAAATAAATAAATGGAATCTTTACAACAACCCCGGTCAAGGAAAGTGTTAATCCATTTGTATAGGTGAACAAACTGAGGATTTGGGAGGCTGAACAATTTGCCAAAGGCCCCTCACTGAATAATTTGCAGAACTGAAATGTAAGCCTAGTTATAGGTTATTGCAAGTTTTTTGTGTCTCTATTCTGTTGCTTTTATCTATATCTACGTTAATGAAAAACAATCTATTTAAAGGCATTTAAATAATACAATGATTAAAAAACCATTAGCTGATTTCCCTCTCTTTTTTTTCTTGAAATGACATCCCCCTCGGCCTGCCTCAGCTTCTCAAGCCGTCAGCTTCTTTTCAAAGGAAACAGAAACATTAGCTTACTTTTTACTGCTCAATTAATTGCTGTGGGATTTTACCTGAAGAGATCAGAAAGACCTCCAGGCGGATATCATTGATCCAACTATAGTGTCATTATGTGCCTGTCCGTAAGTGTGATGTTAGAGAGAAGGCTTTGTTTGTGGGGATCACAAAGCCATCATCCATCCGACTCTGCGGGTTCTGGCGGGCCCTCACCTGAAGCGCTTCCCACGAATGTCTTCCTTGGCCTGTTATTAGTTTTAATTGCTCACAAGGCGTTCTTACTAGTAAAGTTCTTGCCAGTCAAGATCATCAGCACCACCTCAAAGGAGTCTCAGGAAATCAATTAGTAAATTAGGCTCTAGTCCCCTGAGGAGAGGCAGGATAGGGAGTGTCGAAGCTTTGTCCAAGGTCACAGGACCAATTGGCCCCTGCAGACGCAGCAGGAAGCAAATTTATTCAAGTCCAGAGTACCAAAGTAAGGAAAAGGTTCTGTGTGGTAGGACAAGTAATCACTCTGAGTCAGAAAACCCTGGACTCACAGATCTTATCAAACACCAAAATAGTAGTAGTGGTAATAATAATGCACACATTCTGCTTGGTTCTAGGAGATATGACTTAGTAACTGTGATCTTGAGCAAATGACTTAGCCTCTTTGAATCTCACTTTTCTCATCTGTAAAATAGGAGCAATGACCTCATCTCACTGTTTTGAAAATGAAGTAATACGATGGTATCAGCGAAGATTCTTTTTGTTCCAAGTGATGGAAACCCAGTCAGATGCAGATGAAGCAGAAAGAGCACTTAATTATAAGTAAAAGTAATGTCTCTCAAGAACATGCACGCAGCTGGGTCTGAGGAAGAACTGGAATTAGAGGCTCCATTTCTAAGTGCCACCCTGAAGCCCTCCCTATTTCTTGTCTCCACGTCCCTGCAGCCCCCCTTTATACTACTGCTTAGCGTCCATGGCAGGACATAGCCAACAGCCCACAAAGGTACATCCCCCTGACAAGTTAGGCTAAGAGACAAGGTGACTGGCCTAAATTCTAAACCTCAGGGAAGAACTGGGATTGGCCCAGCTCATGCCATGTACCTGCATTCAGACCAATCAATTATATATTAACAAGGAGCAGGATTGTATTCTACTTACATGGCTATCCCTGGGGTAAGCCTGAAGATGAGAGGAGATGGGTATTTCATAGAAGAAAAGGGATTAATTACTAGAAAAGAGAGTTTCTCCACAGATTAAATAAAAGGTGTCCACTACAACAATATATAAGAAATAGCTATTACTATACTCACTCCAGAATAAATACGCTTGTCTTTTTTTTTTTGTCGATAAGTAGATTTCTGCATATTTGAAAGACCACATTTTTTTAAAAGCAAAAAATTATAATATGTATTAATGACAATGAATATAGATCATCTTATGTTAAAAAATCAGAAAAGAACATAATACTGTGAACAGTTAATGTTTTAAGTGTATAATATTTTTTTCCATATGTTTAAAGACACAATTGAAATTCTACAAGTAGAAAAACAGAATTTTGTTTCTAGTCCTATTCTCCTCTCTTGCCCCTAAGAAATCCAAATCTCTTCACATTTTCCACTCTCACCTTCAGTTACTTTTCTGTCTTTAAGTTGTCTTTGTTTGTGGGTCTACCAGCGAATTTTTAGTGTTAAGGATCTAACTGTATTAAAGTACTTGAAACTATTTCAAAGAGCAATGAAATGTCCTTATATGTTAGCACTAAACAGAGCACCAAGCTGAAAATGAAGAAAGCCAATTTCTATTTTTCTCTCTTTTCCCAGGAAACACAGAACAATTTTGGACAAGTCATTTGTGGTCCTTATATCATCCATAAATCTGCCTGCCGGTAACCAGCTTACTTTCCTCCTAGGATGAAGCTGGGAACATCAATGGATTAACTATGAATAGGGTCATTTACAGGGAGAAAGAGAGTGGAATCTCAGAAAACTGGACATTTCCTTTTTATTTTATCAGGAAGTGAATTCCTACCTAGAGAAAGAATCTGTTTTGCATGTAATACAAAAGAATTATTTCACTTGGATCAAACTGTAGGAATCCAATTGCCCTCTGCCAATAAATTCCAAGCCAGAGTGAGGGATTGAGTACCATATATTTTAGGTTTTGGAAAGAGACCATTTTGTGTCACTTTCCAGAATTCCTTCTGGCTGATTTCAGTACATTACTGATTAATTTGGAAAGAATAATTTTAGGACCTTTCAAATAGAATGATGAGAGAGAAGTGTACCTATCATGGTAAAAAAGGAAATTGAAAGTCTCGTTTTACATTGGATTTTGTTTCTGTGATATGATTCCTTTATAGGGAGGAGAAATTAAATTTACAAAGCAACAGTGTTCCAAGTAGAAGCTGAAATGGGGAAATTAACTGGTGTAGAAATGTGTGTTACCAGTTAAAGATGATTCCTTCACATTTGTTTCAAATGTGAAAAGAATGCCATGGGGGGAAGAGCATTTGCCAGAATAATAGTATTGTCTTGAAATAAAAGTCACAGATTCTATATGACAAAAACCCGTTCCTAAATGGAGCTGTTTGGTTACAAATGAAACACACAGTGCTGGAAGACTCATTTTAGACCAAGACTCATCGAAGGCCATTCTAAAGTTCATTGCATAAATGCTTAATTTTGGTCCTTTACAAATTCCGTCAGTTCATTTCTTGGTAGTTAGGATGTTGAAATATGCACATAGGCATGCTGTAGTTGGTCAGTACTAATCTTTTTGTAATAACTAATGTTCTCTTCGAACAGACACCACCCCCTCTGTTCATATCACCTTCACCCAGGAGTCACAAAATGCTGAAGACAGTCGCTTTTACTTGATTAAATTTTGAAAGGTTGAAGCTAGGCCAAAATTCTCACCTTCCTCTTTCCTAAATACTTTTTCTCCTCTCTCTTAATTACGTGGCTTTACACTGATTTACATGAATTTCGGCTTTCAAAATCATTGGTCTTTGCTGAATGCAAATAGGCACGTGGGAAAATTATATTAAGTTTGCACAATTGATCTTTCATCATTTCAAATGGTACCTTTGAACAGTTCCTGAAACGTCTGTCTGAAATACTCCCAGCGCTGAGTGTCATCAAGAGATGCAGGGTCACCCTGGGGAAACCCGTTCTCAGTGATGTAAATTACAGGGTTATTATACGTATCCTGGAACAAGAGAGCAGAAGTTTTATTCCAAACAGATGTAAAAAAAAAAAAAAAGACTCATAAAATCAGGTGCATTACCCTCTATCTTCTCTAAGCTACAACCCAAAACTAGTTTTCATCAAATTGCACTGACCCTATTAACTTAATTTTCCACGCACTGACCTTTTATGACTAACAATGGGAAAGCAAAACTGTGCAAATGTCCATGAAGACAGTCAAATGACTCTTATCATAATGAGAAGACAGAAATATCTTTCTTCCATCAGCATCTGCTGATTGTCACTACTCCTTAACCCCTTGGTCCCACCAACAGCTACACTCTCTATCTCCCCACGGCAAGGGTCCTAAAAATCATTAACTTAAATTTTTAATTTCAGCTACCTGGACACTATCCAGCATAACGGAGGCCAAAAAAGGATCCATTTATTTCAGCCTTTAATGTGCCTTTTGATAATCACAGTTGTGACATCAGCCTGAAAAATATTTCCAAGCAACTTCTTTGACCCCAACTGACTTTAACAAAGAATCCCAACTTTGACCTTGTTTTGAAGCCTCTTATCAGCCAGTTATCCCTCACCAACTTAAATCCTAATCTCTCTTCCCAAGCCAATATATAAGCTACTGTCTAAAATCATTCTTTTTCCAAGTTCTTATATATACACATATGTCTGTCTTTCCGTTTCCACATATTTGGGTGTACATGAACACAAACGTGTTTTACCTTAATATATTTCAGTAGTTTACGTATTCCCCATGGCACCACATAGACCCAATCCAACCTTTTCCAAGATGGGTCTGGAAAAACTTGAAGCTCCACATCCTGAAGAAAACCCACTTCTTCTTTCTTGTTCTCCTGGTACTTGACTAAACGACTTGTATAATATTGCACAGCAAAGAAATCAGCTGTGCCTTTAATCATTCTCTTCTCTTCTTCTGTAAATTTTGGAAGCCTTGATGATGGATAGCCTTGCTTTTTACTCATGAAGGCAATCTGGGACTTGACAACTTCTGGATAATCACCGTCAATAAATATGGGTTTAGCAAAGAAATCCAAGCAGAAAGCAATGGCTCTTTTAGCAGCTTCCTGGTCGGACACTGAGTTGGTATCTGCTGGTTCTGCCCAGCCAGCAAAAATTCCTAGGGACACCATGCCCTTCTGCTCCTTTCGGAATAAAGAATCGTAGCTGTGCCAGGATTTGGCGTGAGCTTTGATCAAATTATGAGCTGCCTGATAACCTCCAGTTCCAAAGTGAGGTACACCAGGAGGAAATACACCGAGATCATACGCCATGATGGCAAGAATATTAGGCTCATTTATGGTGATCCACTGCTTGACTCGATCTCCAAACGTACTGAAGCAAAACCGGGCGTATTTGTCAAAGGATTCGATGATTGCCTCTGACAACCAACCTCCTTTGTCTTCTAAGGCCTGAGGCAAGTCAAAGTGGTAGAGTGTCACTATGGGTATGACCCCATTAGTTAACAAATCATCAATGATCTTGTTGTAATAGTCTATTCCTAGGAAAGAAAAAAGAAGAACGTATGAGAAGTAAAGTTATTTTTAGAACATTGACCATAAGTAGCGATCCGGAGAGGATTGGGAATAATTTCCTAAGTAACTTTTATTCCAAATAAGGTTTGTTACTTCCTGCATATAATCAAGTAAAGGCTGGGAGGAAGAAACATGAAGAATTCCAAGGAAGAATGGCTGAGCAGAGGGTTGGGGATGTGACGGAAGATGTGGAAGATGTATGTTCTGACAGGAATACATTTGGGCAAGTTGCTACCACATAACTTTGTGTTATTATCACATGTATTGAAATTATTCTATTTGCATGCTTGATTTCTAACCCCACTAGAATACAAGCCTCATAATAGCTGGGGTCATATCAAAGTCACCTCTGGATCCCCCAAATCCTGGAACAATACCAGAGAGTCAGTAGATAGATGCTCAATAAATAGTTGTTGAATGAATGAATGGTTCTCAATGGTATTAAATATAAAGTAAAGGAACTGATCTAGATGACTGTCTCAGTTCTTCTCCAGATACAGCGGTCTTATCAATCTAAAAAGGAGACCCACTGAACATGAAAAAGAGGTCCCAGAATGTGGGTTACAAGGGCAGTTAGCCAGAGCCTTGGCATATTAAGGAATATGGTTGAGAACTTTGCTCTAGGATTCTGACTTAGTCCATGAGATACCTAGACACCTCTGGCTCTCACCTAATTCTCCAGCATTGCATGTGGTGGAGGGGGGAGATCTTTTAGTATTGTGGCAGAGTTCAGAAGAATGTTATTAAGTTGGAGATACTCTGTCTCAGAAACCAATGCCAAGAAGATGTTGCGTCCAACCTAATAAGGACTCTTAACTGGAAGAGACTTTCTTAGGACAGACTGATATTAGTGCTTCGTGTTATTTTATGTCTAAGATTGTGGAAGAAACCTAAGCTCAGAAGAGAGAAGCTGTCCTGCTTTTCTGGATAATAACTAAATTCCTATGTAGAATTGTATTGCACTCAAAGTTTGTTCAGAAGCAGGGTCCTTTTTTCTCTTTTTTTTAACTTCATATCCTCTGATTAAAAAAATAATTTAGGCTTTTCAGGGTGCCTGGGTGGCTCAGTTGGTTAAACAAATGACTTCAGCTCAGGTCAGGATCTCACAGTTCATGGGTTTGAGCCCCATGTCGGACTCCATGCTGACAGCTCAGAGCCTGGAGTCTGCTTTGGATTCTGTTTCTCCCTCTCTCTCTCTCTCTCTCTCAAAAATAAATAAACATTAAAAAATAATTTAGGCTTCATACACAGAAATAAACTCAAAATGGATGAAAGACCTAAATGTAAGACAGAAAGCCATCAAAATCCTTGGCAGGGAAGAGAAAGCGAGGCAAAAACCTCTTTTGACCTTGGCTGCAGCAACACATAACACTAACACATCTTTGAAGTAGACGGAAACAAAAAGCAAAATGAACAATCTGGGACCTCATCAAAAGAAAAAAAGCATTGTGCAAGCCACAGGAAACAATCAGAAAACTAGAGCAACCCCATCAGAATGAGAGAAGAAATATTCAAGTAACCAATGACATGGAAGCTCTTCAGATAAAGGGTTAGGATTCAAAATTCATAGAACATTATCAGACAACTTCATTTAGAAAAACAAATAATCCAGTGAAGAAATGGGCAAAAGACATGAATGACACTTCTCCAAAGAGCATCCAGATGACCAACCCGACATGAAAAATGCTCAACATCATCTCATCATCGAAATACAAATCAAAACCAACAAGAGATACCACCTCCCCTGTCAGAATGGACTAACATGAACAACCTCAGGCAAAACAGATGTCTGGTATGGATGCAGAGAAAGAGGATCTCTTTTGTATTGTTATTGGCAATGTACAAAGCTGGTGCAGCAAATCCACTTCATAAAAATTCCAAACTAAAACAGGAACACCTCCACGATATCAATTGTCTACTTTAGGCCCAAATCAAGGGATACAGGTGTAGCATATTCCTAAGGGAATACACACGACCTATTTTATACGCACTGTATATCGTAACAATAGCCAAAGTATGGAAAGAGCAAATGTCCATCGATGGAAGACAGTCAAAAGAATGTAGTGAGTGTAACAACATGGGTAATTGTAGCAATCAAAAAAGAAATGGTGAAATCTCCATTTTGTGCAACTCATGGATTGAAACTGGGGTATCAGTAGTGAAATTACCTAGTCAGAGAAAGGATAAAATCTATGACTCACCCATAGTGAGGACCTTTAAGAGACAAAACAGATGAAATTATAGGGGAAGGGAAACAATACTATATAATAATAGGTGAGGGATGGAAAACAGAAAATATTACCTATGGAAAACTGAGTTATGGAGGGTGTTGTTTGGCTGGGAGGGGGATGGGCTAAATGGGTAGGGCACTCCCAAAGGAAACTCTACTGACAATCATTGTTGCACTATATGCTAACTAATTTGGATGTAAATTTAAAAAAAATAAAATTAAAACAACTTTGTGGGCATCATAAAAAAATAATTTAGGCTTTTGAATTTGTTTTATTCAATCATTAATTTCTTCATCCCTCAAATACACATGTATAGAAAAGCTACTGTATGCTGGACTTATAAACATATGTAAGATAAATACTGTCCTTGACCTAAGGAAGCTCCAATTTTAGTAGGACTACAGATAAATTCACAAACAATCATAATGCAGTATTACTGGTAAAGATAAAGTATGGAATACTATTTAAGTATATGGTAAGGAGTACCCATTCCTAGCTAAGGACATTTGAAAATCTATTTTGAAAGCAATATAACATCATGATTCCAAAAGTGAACTATGGCAACCAGCTACCTAAATTCTACCCCATTCCTTCACCTACTTCAGTGACCTTAAGCAAGTTACTTTATCTCTCTGAATTATCTTTCCCTGTCTGTAAAATGTGGATGATAATAGAAACCTACTTCAATAATTTACTGCCAAGAGTTTAATGAGTTGATAAATTGAACATCATTAGAAAGTTCTTGGCATAAGGTAAGGGGCTCAGTACAAGTTAGCCATCATTTTAATAATTATTATTGTTGTTATTGTTATCACTAGTGACATCTAAGTTGATACTCAAATGATGAATATAAATCATTCATATAAGACAAGGAAGAATGAGTGATCCAAGAAGAGAAAAAAGGGAAACAAATATGTGAAAGAGTAAGGGAGGTGTGGAAATAAACAAAAACCACCAAATATGAACAAAGAGTTTATTTATTCAGAGCTTGCTGTAGCGAGGGAATCAGCCATCATCACTTGCATTTGACAGATACTCAAAGTCTGTCAGGAAAGAGAGGAAGCTTTATAGTGAGAAAAAAGAGGGGAAGGAGAAGACTTCAGTTACAAGCTGATTGGAGATTGTTGGCACAGGGAGGCTGGAGGTGGGCTAAATAGAAGCAGGGCATCCTAAGCAATTGGTCTGGGACACATATGTGACTTTCTCTGGCTGGTCCTAAGTTGGAAGCAGGGGGAAGGGGAACAAACATACATAACGAAAAAAAAAAAAAAAAACAAACCAGAGAAGTTGGCAGATGTTGATCTAGTTCTGACTATTCTGGGCCAATTGCTACAGAGGTTGTGTTTGGCTTCCTGGGTTTCTTTTGTAGATCAGAGTTTTAGTACCATATATGGACTAGCCAGTCTTCACTTGTAAACTGTATTTTAGCCTAGTGTGGCTCTTTCTGGGAACTGTAAGTCCAGGATAATGATAATGTATAGCTGAGCAGAGAAAGCACAAGAATGGTGAGAGGTAAGCAAGCCAAACAATGCAAGATCATGTGTTGTCTGTCTGTCTGTAAGAGTGGATATTTTTAACAACAGCTCTCTTGTTTTGCAAACCAGAACATAATGTGAATCATGCATAACAACTCCATACTTGGAAGACCCTTACATATGCCATTACTCACTTGGCAGATAGGATACCTCAACCTATGCCCTAATCCATGCCCTATGTCCATGCCCTAATCCATGAAACATGTGAATAAGTTACTTTACATAGAAAAAAGAATTTGCTGATGTCATTAAGGTTAAAAATCTTGAGATGGGGAGATTTCTCTAGATGGTTCAGGTGGGCCCAATCTAACCACATGAGTCCTTAGAAGTGCAAGAGTAGAGCAGAGGAGTGGGTCGGAACGATGAACAACAGAAGAGGCCAGAGAGGTGGCAGCATAAGAAGCACTGAACCCACTATTGTCAGCTTTGAATGTGGAAGAAGGGAGCCACCTGCCAAGGAATGCAGGTTGCTTCTAGAAACGGAAAATGGCCCTCAGTTGATAATCATCAAGGAAATGAGGCCTTCAGTCCTACTACCATAAGAAACTGAAACAAGCCAAGAAACAGACTTTGGAAAGAAATGCAACCCTGTAGGCACCTTGGTTTTAGCCTACAGAGACCCATGTCAGACTTCTGACCTCCATAACTCTAAAGTAATAAATTTGTGCTTTTTAATTGAAATATACTTGGTATACAATTTTATATTATTTTCAAGTGTAAAACTTATGCTATTTTTAAGCAGCTAAGCTTGTGATAATTTGTTGCAGCAGCAATAGAAAACTAATACATTCACCAAACGTTATAAAGTTTTTCTTTTCTCTCACAGTGAAAGATCATTCCGCCGTCCCATCTCAGGGCCTCTGCAAGCCCACATGTCCTCATTTGTAAAACGCAATATCCAATGATGGTATAATGGAATCAGTTTGGAATTGATATGTGTGAAGGTTTTCACAGACAATTCCTTCCATTGGCTCTGAATATAAAAATAACATCAGTTTTCATTTATTGCATTCATACTATATGTGCCATTTCATTTAATCCTAGCCCTAAGCCCAAGAGGTGGGCTTTTTTTTTTTTTAAGTTTATTTATTTATTCTGAGAGAGAAAGAAAGCATGAGCACAGAAGGGGCAGAAGAAGGGGTGGGTAGAGGAGGAGGGGAAGGAGGAGAGACAGAGAATCCCAAGCAGGCTCCACACTAT